TAGCGATAAAAAAGTGGTTCAGTTATAGCAAAAACGAGTGTGCTAAATTTATGTCGATCACTTTATACAAATGCTTAGATAAGTATCAGAAATAAGCACAATTGATTTATTGTTTAATTGCAAATTGTTATAAAATATAGAGCACTAGAGGTCCTAATACTAAGCCTCTGACTATCTTTTATTACTTCAACTACAAAGGATTACCAATCTAACATTTTCTCTATTTCAAGATTAGCACACTTTTGTCATCCTAACAACGGTACTCTTGAATGGTTACTTAATTGAAATCACTTAATAGATATCTTTTGTAAAGTTTTCAAGTAAGGTTTTTAACAAATCCGAATCACATAGCTGATGACATAACTAGAGTAGGATGCTTAAAAATTTCAAGTCTATCTTCAATATCATCCTGTGGTTATACCATTACTCATAAGTTGACTGCTTTTATAATTCAATTAGATCTTAACTGGCTCAGTTACTTGGAAGGTTAGCTTTATCACATTCGTATACTGCGCTGTTGAAAAGTTCAATAGTTCGTCGTTGTGCAGTAAGTTGGAATAATGAAACAAAGTAAAGAGAAAAATGAATACTTCAAACAAAAATAAACAAATATACACAATGTCTTGTTAAATAAATTGTCTATTATCGGAACAGAAGGATTATGTCTTAAAATTCAATAGTCACCGAGCTTTGCGGCTCTTTGGTTTCGAATAGATTTGTGTCGTCTAACAAAAAGTTTTGAGATATTGATATTCATGAAGTGATGCCAGTTTTTCAATAACGTTGGTTTTTTAAATTACGAATGCTTACTTTTACAGTATCGTCAATCAAACAACGAGAAATGATTGAGTGCATTATTGTGCAGAGAGAATATTAATCAGGTTTTTTTTCTTTTTGTCTTTCGAAGCAAAAAAAGTTCTCCACTTTTCGAATGTGAAGAGAAAAATAGATTGACACTACTGCTATGTTTTATTATTGTTTGATCACTGTGAAAGGATGGTGAACGTAACTATTTGATTTTGCAAGCAAACCTCCATTACTGATGTATGTATAACGACAGAACGCATAAGAGTGCCGATCAGTGCAGATGAAATTTTCTCCACTATTTGTACATCAATATTTTTAGACCGCAATCAACATTTTCTAGTAGTATCAAACTTGAAAATTGAATTTAATTATTGTACTACTATTTGAGCTAAGCAATGCCCAACGGCTAAAAGATAAGACTTTTCTCCAATATCCTCACAGTTCAACACAGGGAAACCCATTGGACCTGAGGAGGCTAAACATTTGAGAAAGTTTTATGGATCTCATTCTGGCGTTATACTGGCTATCTCAAAATATTAGGCATAGGGTTGGAAGTGCGTTTGTAGATCTTCTTCTAACCCACACCCTCAAAATGCACTATTGATATATTACTCTTAGAAAAAATATTCTCCATCGAACATCATGAAAAGTGAATTCTGAATGAAGAGTAATAAAAATTTATATTTATGTTTCGTTTGTTTAAACTCAACCTAACAACAAAGTTTCTTGATGGCCAATGTCCATTTCAAATCAAACAATGTGAACAAAATATATGTTGATATTTATTCATATTTAATTTAGACATCCATGAAACTATGTTCTGTACATAAAAACTTCTTATATTAGAGTAGAGGAATAAAAACAAAAGCAATTATATAATGATTGTTTATTTCGCGTTAATGATAATAATTGAAATAAAAGTATAAATTAATATATAGCCAAACATTTATTATTAGAATATTTGTCATTAGAGAAAGTGAATTGAACATATCAGAAACTATTAGAAAAACAAAATTTATTTTGAGAGATAGAATAAAAACACATCGAAAACTATTTAAATTGGTAAGTCCATTGTTTTGTTGTCGGAATTTTGTTGATTATTTGTATGTTGAACATGTAACCATTTGGATGGTATAAGAAAATAAGATAAATCCATCAAAGAGTGTTTAATTGATGAATAAATATGTGAAAAAGTTAGAATTGGTCGAATTTGATATAAGTATTGTATTTGAATATATGCACTGTTATTTCCATCATAATATTCATTACTATTTGTATCAATTATAGTATCATCCGTATAGTATTGTGATTCAGAATTTTGTCTCTTGATGAATTTTAAACTAAATAAATTGATAAATATTTTAAAATATATTGAACAAATGATATTTACGCGAAATAACCGAAAATAATTAAACTCATAGTAAACATGACAAATATAGAAATAATACCAATGATAAAAAAGGCTTGGCCAACAACTATAATATCTGTTCAAATAATATAATT